TCATCCTGGAGCCTGGGGTTTAGGATCACCCCAATGGGGCAGGCGCCTCTTCCTGGATCCTGGGGTTCAGGATCACCCCAATGGGGCAGGCGCCTCTTCCTGGATCCTGGGGTTCAGGATCACCCCAATGGGGCAGGCGCCTCAAACAGCAATGGCAATGACCGAGTGCATTCATGGGTCTGATTCCGGGACTTTTTTGCATTTACCCAGATGGTGAAGTCTGGGGAAAAACCCTTCATGTCCCCTGAAATCAGTCCCTAATTGCCAACGAAAGAGGTGGGTTTTCTCCAGAGAGCAGTCAGCCCTTATGTTCCATTTTTTGTATTCATGTCCCTTGGTTCTCATTAGAACTGGAATGGCTGTTTTTGGTGACATGCAATCAAATCTTCTATTTATGATTTTATGCTGTTACTGTATATTGCAAACTCCATGGAAGTACAGAAAAGTACATTACAAGTATCATAACAAAAGGAAAAAATAATTACTACCAAAATATGAAGCCTTTCTGTATGAGTATAGTCTCCAAAGATGCAAAGACAATTTAGTGGTGATTAAATTCTGCATAATTTTATATATTATGCAGAAGTGAATATTGCATTATATATGCATTATCCATTGCCAATTTTATTATTGCCTCAGCATATCATCTTTTAATAACTGCCCAATATATACTTTAATTACAGTGACGATGATCCACCATCATCAGTATTTCATAAAGGTCTGTTTCGCATTTTTAGGCACATAGGATTGGTGCAGCTCTCTTCACTTGATATCTTATCAGTTAAACCCCACCTACAGAACTGTACAAAAGGTTTTGGTTGTCAAAGAGGTGTTTAAAGCTATTTATCTGGGTAAATGCATCTTGTTGGGTGGCTAGATGAACACCACACTCCTCAGAGGCAGCCCAGCCATTCAATGCATTGAATTTCATCCTCATTTATTTAATTACCTTAATTTGTCAAATGACTTGATGAGGGAATGATTAGCCAAACACAGAATGCTAGTGGATGAATCAACAAATACAACAGTGAATCAGATAGTAACTGCAAAAACTGGGGCGACTTTCAGAGAGGATTTGAAATGGCTAACAGACTTCAACAGATATAAGTGAATAGTTTTGCAGCAAAATGAAGATAATTTAAGCATAATCTTTTTTGGAAGATTTTAGCATAGTACTCTATGTTGAGCCAAAATTTCACAGCACCCCTTCCCGTATCAAGCTTGGCGCGATGACATTAGATCCGTAATGTTTCTGAGATCAGTCATACTGCCCACTAGTGTTAGGGTTAGGCCTAACAAGCCTTTGATGGCAAGCTAGAGTCTTTCAAGTTCAGACCCAAGACGGGTCACTAGGAATGAATGTAGGACTACAGTGCATTGATTTCAGAGGATATTCTGAGGAAAAGGATTGAATGATGGTGCTGTCACGCCAAACTCTTTCATCAACATGAATGAATCATTATCATATATCACATCATATGCGGCAGTCACGTTTACACATAGAATGGACATATTTACAGTCATATTCTTTGTATTGTGGGAGAGGCCAGAATAATACAACTATCCAACATTCTGTTAATATGAATATAGATAAATTTTCGTGATCCCCAAAAAGTGAAAGACAACTCATGAGGCCATATTATTTTTTCCAGCACTCAGGGGTCCAGCTTTTGTGTTGCTTACATCGGGTTGTGCATCTATATCAACTGTGTTTTTGATACATGCAGCCTCTCAAGAGCAGCCGTGCCATAAATTTTATGAGGCTTATTGTTATATTTTGGCAAAATGACAGACTGCTCTCTTTACAATCTGGTATTTTTTACCAATGAGCAGCAGCTCACAATCCAAACGATCACCACGGCACTCTATTGAACTCTCCAACATTCTCTGTGTTTTTGTATAGGATGTAACTGAAGTTTTGCCCCCATAACTATCAAGTCCAAGAACTGAAATGTTGTTGGGATTCTGCATTTATGATGTAGAATTTTCATTCAGACAGGGTCACAGAGGTGCTGAATCAGTTCTGAGGTCATTTTGGGGGTTTTTCTGCTGTTAAGCAGCTTCGGTATAGCATTAGGTATAGCATTAGGTATAGCATTAGGAATCCATCTCTCCATGCCGGGGAACTGCCATGTTCCCCTTTTGTTCCCCTCTTGTTCCCCTCTTGTTCCCCTTTTTTTCCCCTCTTGTTCCTCTTTTGTTCCCCTTTTCTTCCCCTCTTGTTCCCCTTTTGCCGAAACAGGTTTCCCAGACCTGCTATATACCGCAGTGATTTTTGAGCCCATTCCCCTGAGATATTAAACAATTCTGCAGTTCAGGCCCTGACTTTTTGGCCTCTTAGTATCTCTGTTAGTTGCCTCATATCACACTCACATATCAAAGTGCTGATGATCAGATCCCTTTATAGCTGACCTATACTGCTAATGGCATTCAGCCTAATACAGTATGACTCAGTTGTAGCTGGATCTGTTGCCCACTTATTTCATGAAGTCCTTTCTAATGCGGCGTCTCCACTATTTTCTCTTTTCTCTTTTCCTGGGGATTTTGTTCATAGTATAGCTTGTGCTTTACCTTTTTGTGGTAGGTGATTTGATTTTGAATTCATAAGTTTTTATTTATGCCTCGATGCTTGTTTCCCTCGATCATATTTCAAAGCCTGGCACAGCAGGGTGTGTAGAGGATGTTGGTCTACAGAAAGACCCCCGTGAATAGCCGTGGGGAGCCAGGTAACTGGTAAGTGGCCTTATCAGGTGCACACAACGGCGAATCAATAGGAGGGATTATTAAAACCATCTTTCCTGAAAGTGAGACGGGTATTCGCAGGAGAGAGGTGTTGCTCTCCACATTTGTCAAAAGGCTGTCGATACAGCGTAATAAACCCTTCTGTGAGCCAAGGCGGGATCTCCAGCTGCATCGGCACCCCCCTCCGCACGGCTCTGTCGGCTGTGAAACCATCAGGTTTAAGGACCGTCTCATTTTTCTCCCAAAGTCCTCCACATTTAGCTGCCAGTAAAGTAAGTTGGTGTGGTGGTACTAAGCGGTTTTGTGTATGTGGGGGTTTCCATGCCGATGGAGGGAATGTTTCGCGTGTTTATCCTCAGCCTTAACATAAACCATTCTAGCCAAGGGGGGCACAGACCTTAATGACAACAGGCAGGATATCTTTTCCCAAAAACTGCAGCCTGTGGTTTGTTCCTGCAGCATTTAAAAGACATCATCCTTTCATTTTTAGGCTGACGAACAAATACAACGAGCCAATTAAGAAAGTATTCGCTTTTCTTTTTTTGCAGTTAAACTTTGCTGATGTGAGATGTGAAGCTGGAGACATGGACCCAGCCAACCTACCGTCAGCAGGGTGAAAGGGCGACGCAACAGAGGCTGTTTGCCTGCTGACTGGCACATGTTACCTGTCACTGTAGCAACAGCACAGTTCTGCTTCAGTCACTCCGAGGGTCTGGGTGTCAGCTACAGGCCAGCATGGCTTCAGCGGATGACTGTCTGACTCACCCCCCCAGGCCCCCTGGCACCATGCAAACTGGCTGCTCAGATTATTTCAATCCAAGTTCTTTGACATTCATTATGTTTTTTTTTAATTAGATAAATGAGTATTCATGGTTGTAACTGTCTTCAGCAACCTTGCCTGCAAATTAAGCATCTATTGATTGCCAAAGTCTTTCCTATTCCGGGGACTTTCAGGACTATGGTGAGTCTTCTGCTATGATTTATTCAGGTCTGCTGAGTATTTTTGTTGCTGCTTTTAAAAAGAGAGCTAAGCCCACACTGACTAAACTCATGACTGTTCCCAATCTGATGACGAAGTCAGGATGAACAGTTGTGCGATTAAACTATAATTAAGTGGGATGGGACGGTATCCACTGTGACCTGCTACACCTTCTGGATTTATATTGCACAAGCCACATCTAGCAATTAGCACATAGATCTGTAATAGCCTGCATGTTGTTTTAAAGCAAGGTATGACAAACAGCTTGTGGGCAGCCTTAGCAGGCACCAAGCCATGTTCTGGACCGGATACCACTGGGTTAATTATCTCCCCACGTTGACTATCTGTGAGGCAGCAGCACCCCGCCCCCGCTCAGGTTATGCCCTTAAGCGTCACACAGGAATATGACACCATTCTCCGCCTGCCCCGCGCAACACAAGGCTCACCTGTGATTTTTTTTTTTTTTGGTCTGCCTTGAAATTTTTTTGACTCATTCTCTTTGCAGTTCCTCCCCACCTCAGGGCAGATGAAATGAAAAATAAATAAAGGAAGCAGAAAGAGCATGTCGCAGCACATCCTTTATTACAGCTGTACGGTACATTAGTGAAATGTTGCTTTTTAAATGCAATTAAAAAGAAGGAGGCCGGGACTCGATGCTGTTTTCCCGTGTTTGTTTTGCAGAGCTTTCTGGTCGATGAGATGTACAGTCAAGGTCCCCCCCTCCCCCTCCACATCCACACATTTGGTGCAGGAAATGAAAAATGTCAAATTCTCACATTTTCCCCCACTACCCATCAGTCAGTTTCCCAGACTGAGGGGGGTCTGTATTTGATATGCGAGGCACGTGGTCCTTAAACAAATTTATGGAAGGGCAGAGTAGAACAAGCCCCTGTGACTCTGTTAGTAAACCTATGGTTAGGTGGATACTGCCACTGCCCCAGACTTCAGATTGTGGGTCTTAATCATGATGACCAAGCTGTGTCTGTGGGTGAATAGAGCAGCTGCCCTGATCAAGCGTGTCCCTCTCTGAGCTTCTGCAAAACGTCCTCACAGTACAGCAGTTGGTCCACCTCAAAGCAGTTGCTGGGCTGGTCCACCAGCTGGCCGAGGTTCTCCCACACCTGGGCTTCACTCTCCTGCTGCTGTCTGGCCTGCTTCAAGTACTTGTAGACCGTCTGGAACTCTGCAGCTCCCAGCTTCCTCTGGATGGACCTCCACGTGACACATGGAGGTGTGGACCGTTAGCATTTGAAGCGATCCTTTGCACACCATACTAATTTACACGCTCGGTTGCGGCCCACTCTGGATCTCACACAAACCACGTAGGCCATGTTCTAGAACAGTGGTTCTTAACCTTGTTGGAGGTACTGACCCCACCAGTTTCATAGGCGCGTCCACCGAACCCTTCTTAATTGGAAAAATAAAATATGTCATCACGAATCATATGAGTCGGGTGTGTGTTTTGACCTCCGCCGAACCCGCGAGACTGACTCACCGAACCCCTGGGGTTCGATCGAACCCAGGTTAAGAACCACTGTTCTAGAAGGATTGTAAGGCTGAGCATAGATGAATCCCTACTATCAAATAAAGGTTCGCGATATTAAACAAACCCAGAAAAATTCACTTAATCCTCACTGCACTCAGCTACTTAGGTCCTATTGATGAATTTGCAGAAAGTCAATAATGAGATTTCATAAACCCTATATGTAATTCTGGGTTCCCTGAGTGTGACGCAGGTCAGTCTGTCAATATGGCGCATGTCAAGTATTTCAATCCTTCCTGTTTGCTGTAATCAGCATACGTGTATCACCGGAATCAGAATACGCCAGCATTCCACTGAAAGATCATGAATCATCTGTGAGAGGTGCCAGGTCCATGTAAGGAAGCAATGAGTGAGACCCCTCACCTGGAGAGACGGCTCTGATTACATCGCCGCCCCAGGAAGCAATGAGTGAGACCCCTCACCTGGAGAGACGGCTCTGATTACACCGCCGCCCCAGGAAGCAATGAGTGAGACCCCTTACCTGGAGAGACGGCTCTGATTATACCGCCACCCCAGGCCAGCTGGTGTCACGTTGCATTTCCGGAGATACAGCTGTCAGTTTTGTGATGTACGAAATAACAAAAGTGTCAAGAGCAGCCCACAGAGAAAGGGTGAGGGAAAAGCTAAGCAAATTGGCCCGTCACCTTTGGTGACACTAGGCCGGGTTGTCACCTGTCATGCAGTGGGGCCCTCAGACACCTGACATCACTGTGTGAAATATGGAAAATTGCCACAGCAACATACACACAATAGCAACCTCCGCATTTATGTCAAAGTGATACTGAAGTGAAATAATTCCAAATTTATTCTGGAAAATTTAATTTCACCCATGACTCTGACCAAGATAATCAATTAGAGGATGGATGCATGGCTTTCATTTCTGCTCCAATAAACTGAAAATAAACTGAACTGTAACAAAAACAAAAGAAATAGTTTGTTCTGTTAGCCTGCAGTCTGGTGTTTGTAACAGTGCATTGATTGTGTGTTTACCTCCTAAATTCTGTGGACATGTGATGCATGCCTGGGATCTCGTTCATACTGTAATTCTGATGTTTGATGCATGATGTCAGCCTGCAAGCAGAAGGTATAACTGCTTGGCCAAAAAATCCTGGTAAAACTCACCCATTATCCGTTTTTCACTCAGTTTTGAGAAGAGACACCAGGACCAGAAGATCCAAAGCAACAGCAAAGCACAGAAGATTCACATTCTTATGTAACCATGGGTATGACATGTTTCCCAACATGTGACTCTACTTTTCTGTGTCCATAAAGCTTGGTCTTTATTTTTAGCTGAACATAAGGCGATGTCCCGAATGTCACTGAGATCTGTTTTGGCAAACAAACAGGCACTTAGTACTAGGAGACTTCAGCCTAGAAGAAATATCCCCGACTCTTGAATTGGGTTTCTGATATGTCAGTATGTCACACAATTTTAGGATGACATTTCTGGTTGCATCAGGCAGATTTCTCCTCACAATGCATATTGGAAACATTCCCATGAGTCCAGTGCTGTTTATAGATTAATGACGGACAACAGAGTGGATCAGATTCAGCTTTTTGTGGATATTTTCATAGCTGATGCCTAAGGCTGTACTGAATTCGCTCCTTAATGAGTGTAGACAGTGGGTGATATTACAGGGTTTCCACAAAGACCTGTAAAATCTTTCAGAAAATTCCACACCACTTCAAAGAGAACTATACATTTTCACCGAACTATTTACTTCGCATTGCCTGTAAATAGAGGTGTGAGTCATTTTGATACTACACTACTACTACACTACTACTACACTACTACACTAATGCATTGATTTTATGGCATTATGTAATTTATTTTATATTTTATATCCATAGACTGATGCATATGCATATTTATAATTGTAACTTTACTTATCAGGATGGATCATTTTAACTGCAGACTGTTCTCAGCTGAAAATGCTGTCACAGAAACTTCTTCCCTGGGAAAGAGATCTGCAGTCTGTTTTTGAGAAATACCCACAGCTTTGTGTTCTGCCCAATCCTTTTAGTCATTACAGTAACATACTACAAAGTTTTATAGCTCTAACCCTGTAAGCCTGCTGGAAACGACTATCTCAGGTATTACGTCGGCACAAAATGAATCATTATAAAACCTAAGATTGGTTTTTGCGAAGAAACTTATGAAACAGATACAGTTAATTCCAGGACTGAATTTTGCTAGGCTCAAGTTTTATAAATTGGTTTTCTGGTCGGTACACTGGTCACGGTTGCTGTGATTTCAGCAGCCACCTGAGCACTAGCACATGACCACAATCTCAGTGGAAGAACCAGCTCTGACATAGGTGATCAGACCTCGATGACAACATCAACACCTATATATCTATGAGGGCACCGACGCGTGATCAGACCTCGATGACAGCATCGACACCTGTATATCTATGAGGGCACCGACGCGTGATCAGACCTCGATGACAGCATCGACACCTGTATATCTATGAGGGCACCGACGCGTGATC